GGCCGCCCTGTGCCCAAGTGCGCTTAACAGCATTGCCTACCTGTGGCTACCTTATGTTGCGTGAGCGACAGCAAAATTGATAATACACCTGGTGTGTTTAGTATATGTGGTGTGGAACACCTGACAAAGAGGAAGGAGAGAGAAATCAACATGAAAATTAATAAAATTTGTTTAGAAAACACATTGATTTGTTACCTCTGTCTGTCAAAGCAATGGCATGAAACTTGGTGCCTGAGGGCCATAGCTGATAAGCGTGTGCTTTCAGAAACGCTGCTTGAATTTCACATCGTACGTGTATGGGGTTTGTTCCTGTTGCTGGCAGGGTTTGGGCTGTTCGGGAAGCAAGGAGAAAGAAGTTGAAGATCAGTCTGTTTTCTGTTCATGCTCCTACTTGCTCGTACAAGCACTTGGGGCTCCAGGTTCTAATCTTGTGACATACTGATGTCATAGGAGACAGCTGTGATGTCAGTGCTGATGCAGGGCATCAGTGGCTAAAGCAGAAAGGAGGAGAGTTTAGAAAATATTAATAGTGCTTTTGTTAAATATAATACTGAATTGCTTCTATTTGTGTCTCTGTGTTATTGTAGCTGCATAAGCTAGTTTTTCAATTCATTTTTTGAAATCTAAATCAATCTGACTGTTTTGCTCTTGACGCACATTTTAAATGTTATGCTGCCCTACCGTGTGATTTATTTAAGAAGGAAGCAGCAGTTAAGTAAAAAACGGTATCGACTCCCTTCTGTCGGGGCTTGGAAACAAACCCACGTCATCTTTCTTAAAGCACCGCGTTATTAGTCTCCCCACTTCCATTGACTCAAGGGCAACAATATTTACTTTTTTTTTTTTTTAAAGGGAGACCTTTTTCTGCCAACCTCTTATTTTGCTCTTTCTATCCCCCTTTCAGTTTTCCTGTAGTCGCACGCAGCATCACGAGGTCTTGCAGCCTGCAAAGCAGGGAGTGGAGCAGGAGGAAGCATTCCTGATCCACCTTATGGCCGCTGCTTTTGGGTTGTTGTGGACTATGCCAAATGCTTTTAATAAAACTCCAATTGTCTGTGAAATACTTTATATCCTAAATTTACCAGGGGCATGTCAAAATAGCGTCTCTGAAAGTGATCAGAGGAGGATATTTCTCAGTTTTGTATTAGTGGTAGCAGTTTGTGAGGAGTCATTTCTGCCTTTGCTTCTATTTCAATGGATGTTATTTGCTGCTTGGTGACACAACTGCAGAGGCAAGAAATAAAACAAACACAGTTTTAAAAATGTGACCTTGAAATTATAAAGTTGGGTAGGAAACTTGAAGAAAGACATAGTACCTCAAAATGTGCTTTATCTCCTTAAAAAACCCTAAATGGCTTACATCCCATGCTACTGTCTCTATATCACAAGATTTTTAAAAAAAATTCTAAATAAAAACCAGATAAAAGATATTCCTTCTTATCTTTTTTAAGGACTATTAAACATTTGGGTGAGTCGCTGAGAATTGGTGTAAACACACACTTTTAGTCTAGTAAGGTAAAAGGGGGAACTGTACGGGTTCAGAAATACTGAGGCCTGAGCTGGATTAGGTTGTGTGAAAGGCTGGCTCCAAACTTAGAATATAGATGCATCAGTTCAATAGAGTGCAGGTGGATTAGCTTGGTGTAATGATTCTTTGGGAAGAAGTAGTTTATCTGAAAGTTTAGAGTTAGTGGCAAGGTATTTTAAAGGATTTTAAATGGCTGAATGTGCTGTTTTGGTGGGTTTTTTTTCCTGTTCTAGTCCAAGAAAAAAGGTCTGAGCTTTGAGGAGAAGAGAGTTCGCATGATGGAGATCTTTTTTGAAACAGTAAGTAACTTGTAATTGTCCTGCACTTACATCAGCGGGAAAACAGGTCCTAGAAGGAGCTTAGGAGATGTAGATGAACTCTGTATATCCTGCTATATATTTCACTGATGCCCTGTGTCATCAATGTATAAATTAGAGGGACAGAGTTTCATTCATGTAGCTTCTGATCAGGTGGCTCGTCCCTGGGTGGAGCCAAGGCATGAAGATATACAGGTGGTGTTAAATGCTTTGTGCGGTCCCTATTCAAATCTTGTTTTGAGTCTGTTACCTGAAGAGGGATAGCAAGAGATTAGGAAGTATCTCACTGCCATTTATGGGAGAAGGAAGAAACTTGAGTGTTAGAAAAGATGAGAGCAGACCTGGAAGAGGTCGCTGGGGAGAAGAAACCTGGAGATCCAAAAGCAGAGCTGCGATTATATTGGTGATGTATGTAATTCACAATGTTTCACCCATTAAAAAAATCACTGTGACATTTGAGTACTTGAGTGATGTGGTGCATCTGATGCTGACAATCTAGCCTTGGATCTGTCCACCCTAAGGGGTTTATAGTCTAACTTCAGGCAACGTACGGTGACTTTAGAGTACCAAAGAAAAGAACAGGGCTTGTTACAATTATAGTTTGGTTTTTTTTTTTTAAATTCTCAGAATGTTCTAATTCTATTGAGGGATATGCAGCCTATTTTCCTAGCAAAACATAAACATGCAATGTATTTCCTACTTGCTTTTGTTGGCATTGATTTAGTGTAAAAACCACTCAGGCTTAGATGATGCTGTCATTTGGAGCTGAAGTCTCTTTTATGTTTTGCACAGAAAGATGTGTTCCAGTTGAAGGATATAGAGAAGATTGCTCCAAAAGAAAAAGGGATTAGTAAGTGTTTACAAAAGTTATTTCTCTTGAGCCATTAATCATTTTTGGGACAGATCATACAGTGCAAATTTTCCTGGCTACAATTTTAGGTTTGTGACTGTAATAATAATGGAAAAAAATAGCTAGAAAGAGAGACTGGTCAATGGCAGGGCTGTAGCATTAAAAGGGGTATCAATAGCGTACTCCTACCTCTGTTTGCTAAGTTTGTGATTTATGTTAGGTGTTAGGGCCAAAATGGGAGATTACTAAAATGTCACAGCTAACTTCTAGTTAACCACTAAAACATGGGATGGGGCTTTTCCTTGGCTCTGAGATGCCTGACTTGCAGTGACTTTCAGTCTGTGAAATTGTTATGTGTACTCAGGTAGTGCACAGAGGATTCAAATGTCTGTCTGTAATGTCACACATATCTTAAAACGCTAGTCCAGATGCACATGGTCAATGTTCTGTTGAGACTTCCCCCTAAAAAAAAATGTCTGGGCAGCTGTAAATGGAAGGGGTTTGTCTTTTCAGTGAAAGCCTTCCTGATGGAATCCATTGGTTTAGGATTAGGTCCAAGAGGATTTATCTTGTGCTGTTGAGTTGTTTTATATGATCCTCATCTGCTTCCTTCTATGTTCATTGACAAAAGGGGGATGAAGCGTAGTGTTTGTGTAGTTGCCACTGTCCTTGCCTAGCATATCTTTGTGGCACTGCAAGAGTAAATGAACTTGTTGAAGGAACTGCAGACACGTGAATATTGCAAAGCAGTGTTTTTCAGTTATGTCAGCAGCTAACAGAGGCACTCATGGGCCTCTGAAAAGATGTGATGCTGCCTTGATCAGTTTGTCGATGCATATGTTTAATTGTAATTTGCAGGAAGAGGATGCAAAACAGTAAATAAAAAGCTGTGGCATTTCATATTTAAAAATCTGAGGTGTAGAGTTTCTAAAACCATTAACACCTTTGAATAGTCCAAATTCATCCTGCCTCTGAATATGAAGGCATTTAGCCACACAACCCAAGCCCCAGTTACTGTGAAAAGAAAAACACCTAGCCTGTGGAAATGCCCCCATACTGGCATCTAGCCAATAGCTTCCGAAAGATTGGATGTTCCTGATCTGAGATCCCCTTAGACTTGAAATTGAAAGTCAGACACTGAAAAACATTAATTAGCTCAAAAGTCTTTATATTTGCAACACTTGAGGATAATAATAACAATGACTTTGTTGAACAGGTATCGTTTTTAAAATGATGAATTATACCACACATTTGCTAGAAAATGGGCAATTACGTTCAGAAATGTTTTGGATCTTCTGACTGCAGATGACTTGCTGTATTAGAACTGAATATAATCAAAAGTAAAATCTGCCCCTCCTGAGTCTGTAGACAGATGGCTTTCATGCCTCTGCTGCTGTTTAATGCTTTGATAAGCATTACAAAGTTAAATGTAATTACACTCCTAATCAAGAAATTATAAGTTAATTAATGTTAGAATTAAGATTGCAAGACAACTTCTCAAGTACCCTCTCATGAGTTTGTTCTGGTATTGTGCTGTAATATGCATGTATATTTTATGATACTCATGAGCAGTGCTTTACAAACATCTGGTGGCAGACTGTATAGAATAGCAGCCTTTATGTATAAACTGCTGATTTTGAAGGGATTCATTCCTTCAAGTGAATCATCAGGCATGGTGTCCTCTGGAAATTGTCCAGCTAGCTGACATTATAGTCAAAATATTCATACAGATGATTGTAGATGATGGCTTATGGTATTCATAATTCTCCATAGTTTAGATGCTATGCAGTTCTAATTTGATATTTTTGCTTTTATTAGCCTCGATGTCAGTGAAAGAGATTCTGCAAAGCTTAGTTGATGATGGCATGGTGGACACTGATAGAATTGGAACTTCTAATTATTTCTGGGCTTTTCCAAGTAAAGCTCTTCATGCCAGGAAGCGTAAATTGGAAGAGTTGGAGTCTCAGGTAAATCTATTTTAAGAAAAATACTTGTTTACCTTGAATGGGTTTGCTTTTTCCTTATACCCTCTTTTCATTCTTTTTCATATTGTGCTCTCTTACCTATGCATATATGCTTGTATGCACACACAGATTTTGCTATAGGAATCATCTGGCACACGTGGTATGACATTCTTTCTCATTGTCTTGCTATCACTTCAGAAGTTCTGGACGTTGTTCTTGTTGGAGCTTGAGCAAGCTTCTTGTCCGTTTGCTGCTGAAAGCATGTTATTCATGATGCAAAACATTGTTTAAGGACTTCCTCTAAACATTTAGGCAGTATATGCTTTTATGTGTCTCCTATATAATGTAGGCTGTCATGTGGTAGTGATCTAAAAGCCGTGAGAGGACTGAAATGGATGTCCCAAGTAAATGTGGCAATAGTTTCTACTTAGGGCCGTCGGGCTTTCCGGTCTGCTTTTATCGGTAGCTTAATTTGTGAGCACTTGTGTAATCCCAAATTGCACTTTTATTAGGAGAGAAGAGCAAATTGATCATGATCTTCTGCAGAAGAGCAAGGCACCTTTTGTTGCAACACTGCTGTTCTATTGATCTGATTCTTTCCTACTTTTTAGGAAGTGTCTTTCTTGCTTCTTTTAATTGCAGCGGGAAAGCACCTATTCATCAGTTTATTTGCAACTGGAATACATGATAACAAGATCAATAAACTAGATTTATGGTATGATTGCACCACAATACTGCCAACTTTTCCCATGCTTATTTAGCATTCTGTCCATTCATCAAAGAATCATTTGAATTAATGCAAAATTATAGGTAGCATCTGAGCAATTTAACAGATGTTATTTTCTTCAGGCATAGCTCTGGTGTCATCATTGCTATCTTATGTACATAGAGCATTGTCAACTTCAGCTACTTCTTTAAAGCTCCAAATTAATTATGTAAAAACATGCTTTTTTCCCCAACATAAACTGAAAAAGCAGTTTGTGCATCTGAAGACTTTTCATCAAAGCAGATTAAATAGCCTGGTCAATGCAGCTGAAATTGCTTGTTTATACATTGTGTGTAGCGTGACCAGCTGAGAGGCAAACTTGTCAGTTATCCCTTCCTATGCTGTCATTGCTTGTAAATCTCAGTCATTACTAAACTGAAAGAGTTCAGTCCGCTGTTCTCTTTTAACTGACATAAGATCATTTCCCTTTGCCCTGAACATTTTCATTACTGGCCTGGGTGCTCTGGATGGCTATCTGAAGGCATTTTGTGTGTCTGCTTCTGTGGATCTGGCAGAGGGAGGAGAGTACCGGTACTCTGTTGCATGCCTGATGCATCTGCTGCAGTTTCCAAGATCAAGAGTAAGACTTGCTAGAACTTTCACTTCCTTTCTTCTTACTCACTAGTTCATGTCATTCCTATGAGCCAGTGATGCATTCGGGGGTCTGTGGCAGTAAGGAGAAGGTACTGCAGTCCTTCCCATCATTAGCAGGAACATTGACAACCTTCCAGGCAGGTGCTTTGGATGAGTTGGAAGGTGCCGCTTGAGATAGCTCTTGCAGTACTGTATGGGTCATCAAAATTATTTACTTTAATTTCAGGTTCTACCAGTGACTTGTTCTGTGTTTTGACTAACTCTCTCAGCAGCTCAGATGACCTATTAGTATCATGGATATAAATGGTACCTTGTGTTTTCTGAGACTTGGTTAATATTAAATTTGTCCCATTGACAATTTTGTCTGCTCCTTTACACCGGACATTAAAAACTGCCTCGATTTAACTGGGTACGATTTTCAGGCATGGACTTATTCTGGCATGACTGGGCTTAAATTCATTTTTATTGTCTGGTAGTAACAATGCACTGATTCCTACTGCAGTGAAGTTTTAGTTTGTCTGAAACAGGAGATCAGTTTAACTCTGCACTGACCTGGAACTGAGTTTCCTAGTAAAGTTACACAACTTATTAGTATATTCACCCAAATTTTAGACTAGGCTACTTACTCTGCCAGAACATAAATGCCAGCTGAGCAATCGAACAAATATATGCCAAAACTCCTGCTTTGTTCACCAAATGCCCTGGTGCCACTGTCGTCTTGTATGCAAATGATTTGCTCTTGGATGCTTTCTAGTTTTGCTCATGCTGCATATTATAGTCAAGCAGTTGAATGAAGGAGTTGATATTTGTTGTCTTTGCCCTTGGGCCCAGTCCCATCATGAATTTTAAAGATAATTGATCAAGCAGGTCTCTGGCATACCCTGATGAATATCTTCCTTGGAATGACTTGCAGAATCTGCCTAATGTGCTCTACCGTAAGTATCCAGGGGTTACCTACAAACATATGCTGCACTGTTGCATTATTAAACATAAACCCATCTATTATTATGGCATTATAATAGGCATGCAATTATTGTAATGTAATTTTATGGTTATTTCTGTGTAGGAAATAAACTGTGTTGATATAAACAGTTTTGCAATATAAAACTGTTCCAGTTGAAAGAAATAGTTTTGTTACCAGACCCTCATTTGCAAACCCAGTCCTGCTCCTGACATATGGGCTTACTGATACAAGAGCTCTCTTTAGACCATGTTATGAGTCCTTAAATATACTTATATTCATTATCTTGTTTTTCTGATGAGAATGCAAATGTTTCAGCATTTCAGGGAAAAACATTTTCACTAGCTGAAAATAACTTTGTTGCCACAGTGGAAAGAGGTGGCATTTTCAATGAATACCTCTCTGAACGTTTTTACAAGATGATAACAGATTCTGTCTGAGAGTTCAAATTAGCTATTTCAGTGTTTGTATTCTTCTTGATGTGAACACGTACAGATTTTCTTAAAGGTTTCGAAATCCAGTCACCAAGTATCACAAAACTTCTTGTCAGAACATGCAAAGCAGGGAAAATAAGTAAGCTATTGTACCACCTCTGTTGTACGTTGCCTGTCTTTGATCATTCCCGTATACAGCTTGCGGAGAGACATGTTTTCTTTCTCTGTCTTGTCCAGATAGCTTGTTAGCTACATGAGTTGATCTCTTTCTTCAGCAGTTAAAAAACAAATCAAACCACCTTATTTAAAGGAAAAGTTTAAAATCTAGCAGTTCAGTTCATATTGTAATTAAAGCTTTTTACCAGGAAGCAATATCTTTGTTTGCCAAGGGCATGGATAAGTAGTAAAGGGAAAAGGGTGATCCCAAATGATGAACTGAGACATTTGAAAATAATGTGGAGGAACAGAACAAGCTTCTCCATGATGCAAATTCTCCTATTAATTTATAGCGCTGAGGCTTACGTTTGACAAGTTGGGCCTGCTACAGGACCTTTTGCCTGCGTGCTTTGATACTTCATAATGTTTTAGCAAAGCTGCTCCTAGCTCTCTGCATCTTAAAGAGCTTGTGATCATGGGGAGGCTGGTTTAGGAATTCTTGAAACAAAATATTTGTTTCAGATTTTTTAGTGATTATTGAGACACACCCCGATTTGGAGACTCAGTAGCAAAGAAGTCTGACTCAGTATTTATAATAAAGAGCCAGCCAGGTTTATCTGGATGTTTAAAGTTACACAACCACACAGTGTTGTGTAGGCCTTAGATTTTTTTTCATGAAGGATTTATTATGTCATCAGTGGGATCCCCTTGTGCAGAGATATGATAATGCTTGAAATAAAGTTTCTGTTGACATAGCTTCCGCCCCCACCTCCATCTTTCAACTTGCTTTTGTGGGGCAGGCATTTGGAGAAGGGCGCTAACCCCTGAACTGCCATAGATGGCAAATCTTGTGCTGACCTGATTAGTATCTTGGTGCTGTTCTCTAACCGAGGGATCTGTTTGGACTTCTTCCTGTTCTTCTGAAAAGCAAGGACAGCGAGTATCTTTAGTTTGTGTAGTATCTGCTGCAATTTTTTTCTCCGATAGCTCACAGAGTAAGAATTGCTAAGTAGGTCCCTATGGATTTTGTATTGATTTGTTTTGCAGTGGCGTGGCTGCTCTTAAAGGTTTATGCCTTCTGCCAGTTGCTTATTCTTCACCTCTTGGTTATGCTTATGCAGCTGTGAATTGGAGCACTGAAAAGTAAAAGATTTTGGATTTTAGGTAGATGAGTTTATAATTGCATCATTACAGCTATGAGATGATGAAACTAGAGCCAGGGTGTAGATTGAGAAGTATTGTTTTAACAAGGTTTATAAATGGAGAAATTTTTTAATGGAACCTCACCTTTGTCGAGAGCACTGTGGAAGCTTTACTGAGAGGGCAGGTTTGTTTTTTTTTCCTTCTGTAAGAAAAGCTGGAAGGATGCAGTTTTATTTTTTATCAATATTTTCCCAGTAGTCAGGTTCTGAAGTTTTGAATTACCTATAATAAATTCTGTTTTGACAAAATGAGGTGTGTATTCTTGGCATAACAATACTGGAAGATTAGGGTTTTTATTAAACTAATGAAGAATTTGACCTATGCAGTTTAAGCAGAAAGATCATAATTTATTGATGATTCTGATGCCTTTTGTTGGTTTCATAGCATGCATAAAATGAGGAGACTGGAGATGAGCAACTGCAGCATGTTAATCAGTCATGTTCAATCTCAGGCAAGAGCTGCTAATATGTTTCATACAATTAGCCCCCTTGCACGTTTGCATTTTGAATCGTTCTCATGTACGCGTTGCTACTGAAGGCATATGAATGTGAAGGATATGTTACCTGCTGAAGAAGAGAAGGCACGCATGCAATCAAAACCTTGGCAACAGTTTTATCAGATAGGAAATGGCGTACCAGTGAGGCAAAGAGAAACCTTTCTGATGTAACCTTAAATGGATTCAGCTTGGATTTTCTTTCATTTTTTTCATCTACGTCTTTGGTAAAACACCTGCAACTGTGCTGTTTTAGATAAGGTGAATTAATGCTTTTTTACGTTTTGCTTTATAGTAGCCTGAATTAAATGTTAATTAAAGTAACTTGTAACAGTGAGGTCTTTTTCGTCTGAGGAATGATGAGTCTGCAAACCACAACCCTCAGAAGCCATAAGG